ATTTCATATTGATAGATCCGAGAGGGTCAGGGATGTCCAACTGAAGGTTGATAATTGTATCTTGGATCTGTTACCTCTTACGACATCTATGGAAGAGATGTCGTAAGGGGTAACAGATCACTTTGGACAATAATACTAGCATATAGCCAAAGGCGTGGGGTGTATACACAGTGACAACTAAGAGAGTATGGAGCAGTCAAAGTGTGTATCTGAGATGCTTAACCCTTTATTTATAGAAGGGTTACTTGTAGGTGAAGAGTCCTAACAGGAGTCAAGTTGTTGGGGGGATAGGATGAAGAGTCTTATCACTTATCCCTTGGGCATAGGATAGGGGATCCTATCTCTTATCTCTTTAACTTGTCATTTATCCTTAGTTGTTGCTTCTAGAAGCTATGGGCCCGTGGGATGGGTCCAAAACACATGTTTGTAGTTGTCTCTAAGAATGAAAAGCAAATTTTTTGGTTGCACGGCTGTCAACCCCTATCCATCTATCTATCTTTATGAATTTAACTGGACAGACATCTCCACCCTATTTCTTCTAGCATTGATCTTTAGTGCTCCTGTAGTACATATGCCTTAACTAAAAGCAGAAATAAATGAAACTCATGATATTAACCATAAAGCAGTGGGTAGAATAAATGTAGTTGGGTAGATTAATTTTTTTTAACATTTGTAAGTGATGCAAGAAATTTTCCTTCTTTAGGTATTGGCTTTCTGTTGGAGCTCAACCTTCAGATACTGTAGAGAGTCTTTTATTTCAAGCTGGTTTACTGCCTCCACCACCAATCGTGACAATGGGACATCAAGGTGGACCATGGGATAAATTCCCTGTTGATGCTTTAAATGGACATACCCTGAACCAAGAGCAGCCAGCCAATTCTGATCACAAAGAAGATGATGGTGAACTGGACACTACTTCTTGAAACTCTTTTAGTGCTGTTTTCAGATGTCTTGTTTTTCTCATTTCATTTACCATTTATTCTAGGTATATCTCCTGAAGCTATATTTGCTATTGGCTTACAAGTTAAATGAAGATAGTAACTTCCATATGTCTGGAGAAGGTAAGTGGTGTTGTGAGCTGTCATCCAAAGCAAGGGCAAGACTTTGATCAAATTTTGCACCCTGTTAAATGCTACATATAAATAGACTGATAGGTTATCTTGCTTTTGAAGCACCAGTTAATTTGTTTTCTAGAACTTTTTACGTGAGGAAGACGCTAGTACAATAATGAAAGTAGCTAATTTTATTTTGAATTTATTCCTCTACCCCATCATGGACGTATGCTCGGCATTGTTGTCTATTATCTAGTTGACTTTTATGTTTCTGCAATTCTTCCTGATTCTGAGGATTCTTTTGAAATATAATCCTGTTTTCTTTTTTATATGTCATGAAAGAAATGTAGTTATTTACCTCACAAAATGTTAAAAGAAAATCACAAACACTTTTGCAATTATAAATGAAAAGTGCGCAGTTTGAAGTTCTGGCGAGGAGTGAGCCTTGAGTACGGGTGTAAATAGGTTAGGCCGACCTACAGGGGCATACGGCCTAGCCTATATTAGGATAGTCTTGGCCTATTACAAATAGTAAAATAGAATAGATCTAGGTTTTAAAAAAAACTATTTAGAAACAGGACATAGGTTTTTTTTGTATATTTTGGGCCTATAAGCCTACGGCCTAGCCTATATTAAGATGGTCTTGGCCTATTACAAATAGTAAAATAGAATAGACCTAAGTTTTTTAAAAAACTATTTAGAAACAGGCCATAGGCTTTTTTTGTACATTTCGGGCCTATAAGCCTAAAGGCCGGCCTATATGATATTATTTATTTTAAAAAATAAATAAAATTATTATTTTAATAATTTTGAATAATAAAGTAATATTATTTTAGTTATTCTTTTAATTGTTGAATATTTAATAGGTTTAAACAGGCTAACAAACTTAGGTCAAAGCTTTTATTTTTTTAATATAGATCATGTCAGACTTGTAATTTGGGGTTTACACAGTCTAACAGACTAGGCCAGATTCAATTTTTTTTATACAGGCTCAGCTTATTTAAGTCAAAGCCTAGCTTAACCCAACTTATTTACACCCTTAGCCTTGAGGTTCAATATCCTGTTTGTTGCAAATATTGAAGCAGAGCCTTCAATATTCTGGTTAGGTTTCGAGTTTAGAGCCTATTGTTACTCACCAAAACAAGAGATGGCAAGCACCTCGAAATTTTAGGTTACTATAATACTTTATCCATGTGATCGTCAAATCCCTAACCAAGTGTAGAATGGCCTGGTGAGGTTGAAAGTCTGCCTATTCAAAGAAATTTTGCAAATTATGTGATTCAAAATTGCATTTTCCTCATCGGTAAAGATAAACATTTTTTTTCATGTGGGTGTAGTTTCCATGTTCTTGTATAGGTTATGGTGGATTGGTAAGGCACCCAATGGTTTTCTCTTTGCTTTTCCTTATAATTAGTGGGGTTAACAGACATGACCGGTATAAAAAGTTGTTGGAAAAGATATAAAATTAAAATCAGTATAATGCATGTTAATCGTAGAGACTTTGGGAGGTAAAAAAAGAAAAAAGTCGGTGGTATCTAAGAATGTGCATGATTTATGATGACTTGACATCTTGGCCAATGTGACTGACTGGTGCAAAATCTAAGAATGAAAATTAAAGATAAATCCTATCATGAGTTATCTGAAGATTTAAGAACCGAATCAGGGCTTTTGTAGCTTATTGAGATTCATCATCTCACCCTTTTCATAGGCTGCTGTTTTGCATGTGTAAATGATATTGTTCATGGTTTTAAAGATGGACTATGATTTGGGAATTAGGCTACACTAGAATAAGAATACTTACTTGGCAGCTATTTGAATACTTCACTAGAATAACTAGAATACTTACTTGGCAGCTATTTGAATACTCCACCAGAATAAGAATGTATTTAAACACTTTTGAACTAGTAATCAGATACTTGACTGAAATCTGAAAGTACAAAATTACTTATGGCACCAGTATTCGAATAGTCCTTTTATATGGGAAAAAGCTTTGCACGATTCCTCTTCCGTGACAAAACCCTATTATGTGAGAAAAAGCTAAGTGTCCTATTTATAATAAGTACCCGTAGAACAAAAAGTCTACAAAACTAATTGGGTCAAAGAGTGTAAATTATTGGCTGAACGAAGAAATTGCCTTTTTTATGAAAAAAATATTAATTTATCTTATTTTTCAAATTATATACTAATTTTTTATTTGATTAAAGTCGATCACGATTTACTCTAGTAAATATCAAAAGCGTATTAAATTAATTAAATTTATGAAATTGGCATTGAATTAATATTATATTGAAAATTATTATTAAATTTATTAAGCTAATAATGTACATTTGCATAACGTGTGATTCTTATAGAGTTACAATTTTGCACAAGCCCTCAAAGAAAACTCAAATGGGATTTTCTTCCACTAAGATTTGCAATTGACACTATATCCAATTTGACATCAACAACGGAAACAACCAACCCTTGATGACTTTGAACTCCCTAAAACCATGATTTCACCTAATCAATAACTAATTCCAGGTCTTGAGAACTTTCCTCTCAAACTGGAAAATATTTTCAGAGAACACAAACCATATGGGCCTTCCATCCAAAACATGACATTTGGATTAAAAATAATATTTTCTCTTTTCTTCGCATCACAAAAATTATTTAATTTTGATTAACCCGAACCATTGAGTGATTAGTGATCCGGGTTCACTGAAAATACTCTCCTAATACTCTCCTCAAACTGAGCAAGGATATAGACACGTGACTTCCTTAACATACCACTCCAAGCCTATTCTTCCTCCTTAAACAGTTTTATGCTCCAAGCTTTCAGATGAAAACTCAAGCCAAGCCAACAGGTACCCAAACCACAAGCTTTAGATTTATTTTGGAACATTGATATTATACACCATATAAGATTAATTGTTGAAGTTATTTTGTGTAGGATGAATTCTTTAAGTATTTGAAAGAAATATCTTGTTTTTTGTTGTTAGTGGCTGGTGGTATATATATTATATAGCATGTTTTACTGGTATTAAAAATATAGGAGAAATTCTAAAATTTTTGGATAAATATGTAACTATGTATTATTTTAGAATATTATTTTGCAATTGTTGTTATTGTGAGATAGATTGTCCGGCCGAATTGTGTTTCAATTACCTTCGCATGTGTTACAATTGTAATTCCGGATTTTGGTTATGACATTCATTTTTTAGAATCAATTTGTATAGATAAAAACTCCTTGAAGATTAAAGCAATACAAATAACAACTTTCATGAGCTAAATTGTATATTTACTCTACATTTATAATTAAATAAATGGTATTTTGACCCTAATTGATCCCTATACTATTTTTAAAATAACCATAGAACTTAATGATTGAAAAGTGTTATTTGTGAAATTCAGTTCTCAAAAGATAAACTCGGTACCATTTGGACAATTTCAAAATTGAAATTCACACAAACAAAAATTTCAAAGTTATATATTTATTTTATAATTACTTTTTTTATAAACATATTTTATAATAAGAAAAATTATTTTGACAAATTTTTTTTATAAATTTATAAACAAAATTATATTTTATCAATAAAATTTTACTTAAAAATATCTTACCCATAATAACAGATAATATAATTTGTAAATATAACTTTTTATAGTTACTTTGATTGTAGTTGAACTGCCAAAACCAACAACTTACGTCCGAACGAATAGACGGAGGAACCAAAGTCTGCTTTAACTCTGCAAAATGCAATCGGCGCATTTTTCATTTCAACTATGGAACATTGCTTTGTTCTCTCCACAACATAGTTTCTCTCTTTTGCACTGTCTTCTTCTTCTTTCTTTTGCAAAATGTTTCAGCAATCGCTTTTCAAACCTTGTTCCTTTTCATTCGCAACCCCAAGATCTTCTTCCCCTTTTACTCGAACTTCCACAATTCGATGTGAGGCCAAGGAACCATCGCCATTGTCTTCTGAGGTTGTCTCGCGACAACCACTGTCGCTGTCGGCGACGGGGAAGCTGATGGAAGCGGAGAATAAGAGTGGATCCTACCCAGGTGGGTTGGGTCCGTTCACAGGGAGAGACCCGAATGTGAAGAAGCCAGAATGGTTGAGGCAGAAAGCACCTCAGGGTGAGAGGTTCCGTGAGATTCAGGAATCACTCTCCCAATTGAAACTTAACACTGTCTGTGAGGAAGCACAGTGCCCCAATATAGGAGAGGTTCTATTTTTCTTCTTTTTATATTTGTATGTATCTATATTTCAGTTGATTCCTTGCTCTTTATTGAAAATTGGTTTTTTAATAAAATGGATTTTGTTGAAAATTTGGTTTTTGACAAGTGGGTTTGTTGAAAGATTGATTTTTTTATAAATGGGTTTGTTAAAAATTTGAGTTTTGATATATGGGTTTATTGAAATTTTAAGTTTTTGTAAATGGGTTTGTCGAAAATTTGATTTTTTATAAAGGCAATGTCTTCATTTCATCGATGGAGAATTTGTACTATCCTTGCTCTTTTAGTGGAATTACTGCTCATGTTGTTAGCTTCTCTGTGTGGTGGATTGCTCAGGAAGTAATTTGGGGAAACAGAATAAAAAATTATGGATAAGAACTAATAGTGGTGACCAGATATAACGTATACTTGGTATGAGCATTGAGATGCTTCTTTAGGGGTTACCAGTGACAGAGAGAGCCTACATTGGTATTGTTCCATTTTTTTTATTATAGCTTTATGTTGTGATGGGTTTTAGTTATATATTTTGTGTTGTTAACTGTTTTGTATCTTTTAACACCGTGCTTGCTCTAACTTTTAATTAATCTGATTTTACATTTTATTTTTTGCTCCTGATCTTCCTTGCATAGGTGAGAGGCTGAGAGCTTTAAACAGCAATCCCTTTGGGATTAAATAATTGATAGTGATGTTGGATTTTATTTACTATGATTACAGGCTTAATATTTAATCAAACTTGCTAAACAGATAGCTCTCTGAATAAAGACAGAAAGAAACTATATTTAAATGTATTTAATATGGAATGTCTTCTGTAAGATGTTTAAGGTAGAAATATAATGTTTTGACATATATACTCTAATGGACAGTGTTGGAATGGAGGCGGGGATGGTATTGCAACTGCTACAATCATGGTTCTTGGTGATACTTGCACCCGTGGATGTAGATTTTGTGCTGTGAAGACCAGCAGAAACCCAGCACCACCTGATCCAATGGAACCAGAAAATACTGCCAAGGCCATTGCAAGTTGGGGGTGCGTATAATATGTTATAGTGATGTTTATCTTGAATCATGAATGGATTAATAATCTGCACACTACACAGTTGATTCATTTATGTAATAATGGTTATGGTACTATGCTTTGCCTTAAACGGAGCTGGTAGTACAAGCCCTGAGTCTGACTTATTTACCTGATATAGGCATGTTTTAAGGTCTGGCTTGGCCTTTTTAAAAGCTTGACCTAGCATGAAAAGGCTATGTAAAAGCCAATTTTGCAATCAGGCCTTTAAATCGGAAAACAAGCCTACATCTAAAATCTAAATAGGCTATCAGGCCTAGGTCTTTAAATATGCTTACAGGTCTAGGTCTTTAAATAGGCCAACAGGCCTAGGCCTTTAAATAGTTTCAAAACAATTTTAGTTGGCTCCTAAATTCAACCCACCGTAATGGTGCCCTAATTGAAAATCCCCAAATAATATGGGGACCTAAGTCCTATAGATTAATTTAACTTAAAATATAAGCACTTTTTATCTGAGATAATGCTATTATATTATATTATATCTTTCAATTTGCATTCCTGAGGAAACTTTAATGAGTTCTTACCACATAGCGGAAAGTGTTAGCTAAATTAATAATTTCTTGCTGATACACATATTATCCAAATTCTTTTAGTAATTTGTTTGGTTATGATGAGAATCAGAATGAGAAAAGTAACAAAGAAATCATCTCGATAGTTGTTAGTTCATTCAGCACTGATATCATATATATATATATTACTATAATTAACTTCATGTGAACATATGTAACGTCTGAAAGATTATCAAGTTCATATATTTGTACAAGTTGCAATACTTACATAGGTCATGGTCACATAACGTGCATCTCTTTGGTTTATGATATACTTTATATGAATTTCTTGGATCTGATTCCTTTTCAATGGTGTTGATTGGTCCATGTAGCTGATCCCACCTAGTAGAATAAGACTTGGTTGTTGCTGCAATTCCCTGTTAATTACAAATTCTGAATTTTGCAGTGTTGATTACATTGTCCTAACAAGTGTGGATCGTGATGATCTACCTGATGGAGGAAGTGGGCATTTTGCACAGACTGTCAAATCTATGAAGGTGCATTGATATACTGGACTGTTGTTTCAAGATGCATTTTTACAAGATGTACAATGCAAATTGTAAGTACAAACAAGTTTTGAGCATAATCTTTTTGATTGCTTTTGCAGAATCTCAAGCCTGAGATCATGGTTGAGTGTTTAACCTCTGATTTTCGGGGTGACCTGAAGGCTGTAGAAACTCTGGTTCACTCAGGTTTAGATGTATTCGCTCACAACATTGAGACAGTCAAACGGCTCCAAAGAATTGTTAGAGATCCCAGGGCTGGGTAAGTTGCATTGCTGATCCAGCTGCTTTGTCATAACTAAGAATGTTATTACAAAATATCAACCATTATTTACTCAAAAGTAAAATATACACAGGAAAAGAAATATTTCCATGGAAATTTTTTTGACTGGTAGTATCAAGGCATAATGTAACACATCTAAAAAGAATGTATGAAATGAGAATAAGTAGGTTTTGAATAATATATTACTTCTATGTTTATGTATTTTGAACTCACAAGAGCCTTTCTGGAGGAGCTCTTCGCACATGATAACAAATTTAAATAAAATGATAACAGATTAAATATAAAATAAGATATCAAAGAATAAATATATAAAAACTTCAATTGTAAAATTCAGAAATTTGTTTTGCATAAGGATCTTTCTAAACTTGGGAACCAACTCATTGCCCTTCTATTCAGTTTTTAACTGGATTTTCTAATTCTTTCTGTTTTCTCGGGTCAGCTATTAAGATAGGCAGCACAAGGTTGGTTTATGACTAAATAGCATAAACTCATTTCTATATGTTTGAAATTATCAAATTCCAGTTACTTCATTCTCTAATATCATTATTCTTATTGTAAAAGAATAACTTTTAAGACATTTTTTAAATGCCATGCTGCTAGGTGGAAAATAATACAGATTCTTTAAAAGATGCTCTTTTTTTAAGAAGAGCCATATGAAAAATTGTAGATAAGGCAAGTAAAATGTGATGGAAATCGAGCATGTTTTGAATCAAGCAATCTTGGATTATAAATTGGCACGTAGTCACAGACATGCATTATTAATGTTCTCTATACATGTAATAAGATTATAGGTTTATTTTCAATCAGTGAATGACGAAATTATTGACATGTTTGAATCACTTTAAATCATATTAGTTATCTGTAAAAACATGCATGAGAAACATCCCTAAGTGTGTGCACTTGTGCTTTTGGTTGCTTACACAAACATGTACTACACTTGAAAAAAGAAATTATCCCTTCAAAATTGGTCATTATGGCACATTATATGGCTTACAATTTCATCAAATCTTTTGCAGCTCTTGTTTGTTTGCTGTCCTATTTTGTGTTTGGTATTTTACTTCTATTCTCTGGCTAATTGATGTTTTTAAATTCATGATTACAAGTTCCTGGCATTTCAATTCACTGTGGCACCTGAAGCCTAATAACGATGACAATGAAAAAAGGGAATATTTATTTATTTAGTTTTTGTTGTGTGTTGTGTTGGGGGTAATGTCATGATAAAAGCATGCTGATTGTGGTTTGACCAATTACTTAAAGGATACATGATTTTAAACTACAATGTGTTTCCATATGCTTTTTTTTTCTCTATTCCAAATCATCATTTGCTCGGTTCTGTTTCTTATGTGTAGTATGGTTGTAGGTACGAGCAAAGCTTGTCAGTTCTAAACCATGCAAAACATAGGAAGGAGAGCATGATAACAAAATCTTCGATAATGCTGGGCCTTGGAGAATCTGATGAAGAGGTGAAGGAAACAATGTTGGATTTAAGTGCCATAAATGTGGATATTCTGACACTTGGTCAGTATTTGCAGGTTAGCTGATGTAAAATGCTTTGGTACTTTCCTTATCTGCTTCTCATAACCTTAGTAATCGGAGTTGAAAATTCTGTCTGTGCTTACGGACAATGCTAATCTTTCACACGATCTCATAACTTTTAAGTTGGTGTAACATGCTTGATTTAATCTATTGCCTGCTGGTTGTTTGGCTCAGCAGTCAATAATACACCTTGCGAGTCTTATTTTCTATTGGTTGTTTTGGCTTTTAGTTCATTAAAATGTTATTGTTGCAGCCAACACCCTTGCACTTGACTGTCAAAGAGTATGTTACGCCTGAGAAGTTTGATTTCTGGAAAGAATATGGCGAGTCTATCGGTTTTCGTTATGTTGCGAGTGGGCCTCTGGTAATCTCTTTGCACATGCATTAAAATAACATGGTACTCTTGTTTTTGAGAGTTAGTATTGGAATAGTGGTAAAGTTGTTTCTTTGTAACCGAAAGATCACATGTTCGAGTCTAGAAAATAGTCTCATTGTAAAAATATAAATGTTACCCTTACAAAGTCAGGGAACCTTTTGCCCTTTATTATCTTTGAAGTGACAAAACGGACTAAGAATATTCGTTGTGCCTCTAACTATCCTCCTCAACGAGCCAACTTCAATTGATAAAAGTAGTACAATTACCTCATCATCTTGGAATTTACGAGATCCTTATGAGAGGCTATTTATTATGTTTTGTAGGTGAGATCTTCATACAGGGCTGGGGAGCTGTTTGTCAAGACAATGGTGAGAGAAAAGGCCAAGAATGCCGGTGGCTCGTTGTTGTAACATTTGGCTATGTGATTATGGACATTATTATTAAGCAACAAGAGATGGTGAACTTTTCGCATGTGCAGAGGAAAATGGTTAGCTGGGGCTGACCTTCATTGCTTTGGAGTGAAATTATCCAGATATGTTGTCAATTATATAAGCAAATTGGTTACAGTGAGAAATTCTATTCAATCAATCCTTGATTCATTATCATTTTTTTTCGTGTGTAAACTGACTTGTTTATGTTCCAGGAACCCATATATTATAAAATTCTTTGATATTTTATAATGTTTTTGGATACAATTATGGCGGAAAACTCGTGTAAACTAATCAAATTTTTTGTCGCTTATTCTTAGAGACCGTAGTTTGAGAGGGAACCTGAAATGTTGCTCCTTTGTGAGTTCAAATTTAGGAAACAATTTAAAAAAAAAAATACAAGGGTGAAGTACGTTCAATCAATCATGACCACTATCATTGCAAAGAGGGGAAGCCTTATGCTTTGATGTTTATTCTTTTACAATGAAATACGATAATTTGAAGAATGTGGTCTTAATACTCAAAAGAGAAATGCATATTTTTACTTGATTTGTGAAATTTTGAAGAATTCTAAAATTCAAGAAATTAAAATGCTACAATCTAAATAGAAGAAATTAAAACGCTTTCCCCATTATTTCAGTCATATGATTCATTTTTGTAAAATCTTTCTTCAAATATGGAAAAAGAGGACGAACCGGAGCAGTGGTAAAATTGTTCTTTCATAACTGAAAGTTCATGGGTTCGAATTCAGGAAACAATCTTTTTTCAATTATGCAAGGGTAAGGCTGCGTACAAAGATTTCATCCACTTCACACTCGCTAGTCAGACTTAACGGGGAGTGATTTTTTTTTTCCCTTCAAATATGGACAGGGATGAGTTTTTTGTTTTTGTTTTTTGTGGAATATAATTTCTCACTCATGTATACATAAAAAAGTGAGTAAGACCTATTAATAAGAAGAGAGAGAAAGAAAATAAGTGGGTTTTATCCACTTGTTTTGTATATGGATGAAATAATTTTATCTCATATAACATGAGAAATTATATTTCCTACTTTTTGTTAATTTTAATAGTCTATTCCAGTAATATAGAAGATATCCTCCATTTCGTGTGCTGATTAGCATCGACGGACCCACACTATTGCAAGTGTGTGCAAATGCAGACACAAATGCAAGGAATTGGTACTCAAAAATAATCTTGGATTTCAGTCTACTACATTAGGCAGTGGCCAGCTTAGAGAAGATGAGGAATTGGACAGCGTGCGGCACAAGACAAGTGCCTCAAGCTAGCTTCCAATATAGGAAATCAAATCCCAATTCATTCAAAAGACAACGATAGCTCACTGCATTTGTGCTGCCTTAAGATCTACAGTTCACAGATATTATTAAAATTATATATAAAATTATTAAAATGACATTCGCTTAATATTTTTAAATTTTGGCTTAGCTGATTGTATATCTAGTCTCCGTGATTATTAGATTATGAGTTTGATCCTCACTGCCTTTTACATATGATATATAATTATATTTAATATCAAAATAATAATAAAAATGGTGCAAGATTATTTTGCATTGCTATAAAAATAAAAATCTTAACAAATAATTATTGCCTGAAATTGTGATAGCTTAGTTGACTCTTATTACTATTTTTTTTATCTTAAGTTGAAATTTCTTTTTCTTGTTTATATTCTTTTTGCTTTTTAATACATTTAAAACTTTCTTTAAAAAAAAAATATTCAGAGGCGCTACCGCCGAACTCCGCTACTAAATATGCAGACATAAATAAAATTTTCTGGGTCCGCCACTGCTAATTAGGATATAAATGGGTCAGACTGTCTAATAGGGCCCTACAATCCAGTTTATATTAGGTCAGACTCGGCCTATTATATATAGTTAAATAGAACAGGCTCAGGCTTTTAAAAAAACCTATTTAGAAAGCAAGCTATAGGCTTTCTTTTACATATCGGGCTTATAAGCCTATAGGCCAACCTATATCATATTATTTATTTTAAATAAAATAAATAAGATAATTATTTTAATGATTTTGAATAATAAAGTAATATTATTTTAATTATTTTTAATTATTGAATGTCTAATAGATTTAAATAGGCTAACAAGCCTAGGTCAAGGTTTTTGTTTTTTCAAATATAGGGCAAACCATATCTATAATTTGGGCTTACAGAAGGCTAATAGACTAGGCCAGTCTTAAAGTATTTTACACATGCCTGATCTATTTAAGTCAAAGCCCATCCTAACCCAGTCCATTTACACTCCTAACTAATCCCCTTTCTCTTCTCAGAATTATTTTTTTTTTCTTTTTATTTTTAAAGAGAAAAAAGTGTTAGATTTTAGTGTCAAAATTCAGAATAAGAATAACAATTGTGTTTATGAAATAATAAACTCATACTTTGAAAGAAATTATTTAGTAAACATATCTTATTAACCAAACACAGTTAAATAGTGATATGGAGTAATATATTCAGGCCCCATTTCTAAGTCCTTCACCATGAAGAAAGACATATATTAAGAAAGGATTTTAGTCAACAAAGCTTGCCCTCAACCATGTTACTTCTGCGACTCTTCTGCAAAAATGATCTCAAGCCACCTATACAAGGATCAATTAAAAGGCTTTACTGCTTCACCACTTACATGCGGTAATTAGGGGCATCCTCCAAAGCTGATTATTCCCCCACTATAAATACAAGTGTGTTAACAAAACACATTGTATACTAGTATTATTAACATTGATTATGATATTAAGCGCAGTTACAATATACGAGTAAACTTTTTCCTTTTCATTACGTACGCATTTGAAAACAATATAAAACGTAATGATTCAAACTGTGATCATAACTGAATTCTAAAAACGAAATTAATATTATACTTGCTTAACTATCATACAATACTTATTTTAAGTTGCTAAGAGGTTCCCATAAATCAACTTAGCGTAAAACTCACTTTTACAGTTTTCCTAACACTGAACATGCTTCTGTTTTCTTAGTACTGGGCATGTCAGACTTATTATTAATTTCTCATATTTTATTATGTTAAACTAGACTCTTTTACCTTTCCAACAAGGTATCGCACGCCTTATTTGGAGTTCTCTAGCTCCGGTTATAACCATTTGAAGTTGGACAAGCAAAACTGCCAACCAACTACAAACAGAGCACCAAACATCCCTCACCATTTCTGCTATTCCCAACGATTTACTCCACCAAATACTCTCAAATTTTTATTAAAAATACTAGACACCTTGATATTCAATTTTATATATTATAAGCCTAATTTTAGTAAGAATTGAGGGAGATATGAATTTTGGAAGGAGGGATCTGAAGCTACCCTTGCAAGTGACTGGTCTGGGCAGTCCTTACTCTCTTGGACCTATAGGACGGTACACAGCTCTAAATGACACCAAATATTGGGATAACTTAGATGACATCTCAACCTTTAAAAAAAAGAGTATGGTACGTCCCAATTGAACATCGGTGGAGGGAGACATGGTCTCCCAAAGTTGGCCTAAAAACTTATCAATTCTTAGAAATTTTGACGACATCTTCTTTGTTTTATTATCTAATCCCACTTTACCAAAGTGTGTTTTAAATCATTAAATGGTACCTAATTGACAAGGGTGGCACACATGGATTAACAAATCTCGGTGCTCTTACTCACAATATATTTACATAATTTCTCACTCACTTTACAAGCCATTACTTAAATCCATTTACAACTTATTACTCATTTCAATCACATAATTCAATTACGTTCATTCAAAATCATTGGACAATATCATAACCTAAAATAGGCCTATTGCCCTTCCATCACATACATGCATCATTAATTTATACAAGGTCCATAATTCTTTAATTACATTTCTCCAATACCAAATATAACTATAAATAAAAATGCTCCAAATACAATTATGACATAATCACTAGACTTAGCTAAAATACAACATGAACAACAAAAGCATGGTATAAATCCATCATGCAATACCATATGTTCATGCTCTAAGTCTATCCTATCCAATACATCCCAAAATGCAAAATGACATATAAACTCATGCATCCCATCATGCTCTCCTGCCTTTTGCCCAAGACTCCGGCCTCACTATATCAACCAAAACTTAGCCCCGTAATGCGGGATGAGATATATGAATATATCTCAGTAATCTAAAGGCTCTGGAGGATCACTCCGTCCAATGGCTCACTCAGATGTAAAATAACAATAATGAAACTATACAATATCATACAAAATCATACGACCCAATGGCTTACGACATATGACATATCATCGGGCTCTCATCCAAGAATTTATCCCCGGGATAACATTCAAGGCACCCACACCTATAACTCCCGAGACATTCCTAGAGTGCTTCTCAACACATCACAACTCTAGCCCCAGCCCAACTGAACAACTTCCATCAAACACATGCATGATCATGTTATACTTACACTATTGCATCAAACAACTTACAACCACTATCCCAACGGGCATGGTGGAGCACATACGAGGATTAATCCCGATACCAAGAGATTACCTTTTTGAAGCTCCCAAGTTAGGTTGTTTCAATCACAAGTTACCTAGCAACTTTCTTAAACAACGAAATGTCTACACAAAAGGTCATTTCAACATCATTTAGTGCCACAGTGACAATGCAATTGGTCATCCAATCAATCATGCATACAGGTGATTCAATTACTTACCAATATCCTTTTGGTCAAGGATCAAAGGCAATCCACAAGCTTCAAGCTTCAATCTTCTAGGATTTCATCCGTGGGAGACAACCAACAATGATCACAAGAATATGATCATCAATCCACTTGTTAAACAAGTCATAATTTTAAGCAATACATTACTCCCCCCAATGGTATGCTTCGGTTAATGTGGCCAAAATGCCTTAGACATGTTGTTAATTTTATTCAATCATTCCTATGGTTTCCTTAGCCAATCTCAACACCATTTACATACCATAATGTCATCAAACCATCACTTAACACAATTTCCCCCAAAATGCCTTATAAGGCCGTGGATGATGCATCAAGGGGACTAGGGGTTTTTCTTGCCTTTTTAAGGTTCAAGGTTCATTCTTAGGTCCACACTAGTTTATTCAAATACCAATTAACACCATTCATCAACTTCAACATCCAATTGCACATTCACACCTTAATTTCCCCTAAATGGCCGAATT